TTTTGCCTGTTGTTGTTTCTGTGGTTGTGTTCTTTCACTCTTCATTCCTCTTCTCTTCGCTGGCATGTACTCGTTGATGCCTCTCTGTGTGGGCTGGGGCCCTGCAGGTAGCTGATGAAGTTCAAGGCCACTGTGCGTGACCAGCGCACCCTTGCCAGTGCGTGCCAGGCGTGCCGCGGCATTCAGCGTCGGTGCGTGATCAAACTGCACCCCACACGCATTCGCTTCTTCACGAGCACGCAGTTTGCAGACGGCATGCAGGTATGGGCCGGATGCCGCACGCAGGCCATCTTCAGCGACTTCCAGTCCCAGTCGCAGCTGCAAGAAAACGCCATCTTCTGCGAGGTGGCGGACATTTCACAACTTTTTTACATCATGCGCCAGGCAGAGCGCTGCCCAAACGTCACTATCAAACTGACGAAGAATGCGGCGAGAAGGCCGGCACTGCGTGTCTCGATGCAGGGCGTCCGCCCACATCTTGACATCAGCCACGACGTGCCATTGCGGGTGCTGAGCGAGCTGGAAGTGCGGCATATCAGCGCCCCTCTCCTCGAGAGCGAGGTGGTGCAAATTGTTTTGCCGTGCCTCGCGGAGCTGTCAAGGTTTGTGGACAAGGTCCGCTCCACCTCTTGCGATTGCATGACGTTCACAGTGAGGGACAACGAGCGGGCGGATGGCGCTGCTGCCACCAACTGCACTCTGGTGGTTCTGGCCGAATGTTTCCTTGCCAGCTTTGCTCTGAAGTACAGCTCCGTGCAAAAGTGCGAGCGCGAGGGTGACAATGACGCCGATTTTGATGGGGAAGGCGATAGTAATGGCGGGGATAATCTGAAGCACCGCGACGATACGTCGATTGCCTACGCCTCAGTGTCGGTGGAGGTGAGACGGTTCGCGCGGTTTCTTGCAATTAAAGAGGCGACACCCCTCCAGGTTGTGCTGCATCTTGTGGATGGGGAGGCCGTTGTGCTAAGCGTTTTTGCCTCAGTTGGCACAACGCTCGTTGGCTACATGCCTGCCGTGGAGCAATAATCTCCGCCTTTGCGCTGCTGCTTCTTGCAAGTACGGGGGAATTAGCAGTCGTTGTCGTTTGATTCCATGTGCTGCATTGTCTCTTCTCCTCGTTCTGTGTGTATGCGTGCACACCCGACATGCACGTACATATGTGTTTTTTGTCGCACACAAGATGCAGCTCATTCATAACTTCCCTAGAGAGCGGAGGGGAAACTTGTTTTACCTCTGCGTGCATTATCGCCTTTTTTGCTGTTCTTTTTTCTGGGTGTGATGCATCAGGTGGTGTGTGCTGTCCCGAAGTCCTGCCTTTCTCCTCCTGCCTGTTTGTTTTCAGTCCGGTGTGGCACTGCGGTGCACGGGCGAAGTAGTCGTCTGGATTCTTTTGTGATGCGTCGCATCTCACGCTTTGCTGCGCCGTTGGTCATGGAGGACGAAGTTGTGCCACGACGCGTGGGGATGATGCCAGCCGCACAGAGCGCAAGGAGGACGTTGTGACGCCGTGGGGTGTTGCCGCCACGGGCCCGAGAGGGTGTGGACTATGACCGCGTCCTCGCACTATTCGGGTCGGAGCCCGTTGATGAGCCCCTTCTGCAGCGGCTGGAGGAGACACGCAACGGACGGGAGGAGCACGCGCAGGCAACAAGCACCGCACAAGGGGAGGCGGGACAGATGGCATTGCACCATTTTTTCCGCCGCGGCATTGTCTTCTCCCACAGGGAT